TTCAGTAGATTAGCAATTCACATATGTGACCCTCACAGTGCTTGTCAAACCCAAATGAATTAGGCAGTCCAAGAATCTTAGGAGGCAATGATGGAGGGGCACTTTACTGTTTGTACCTGAACTTCAACTATCATTGAGTGACACTAGTAGGCTTTAATATTTGTGCTTAGTATCCTTTCCACTGGTATTAACAAGCTGTCATTCTTCATTGTCAGTGGGCACTCTTCCTTGTCCAAAGCCAAAACACCAAGAGAATGTCTCTGCAAGCTAGCACCCACCAGGTCATCATTTTTCTAACTACTGTTGAGGCCCTGCCTTCCTTGCTGCCTGTGCATTCACCTGGCTCAGTTCCCATTTCCCTATTTGGATGTGAATGTCACTTAGCCAGTTTGCCCACATGATTTCCCAGACCAGGAAGGGACATGCCTTGATGCAGAAAGATGCAATCGCTGCTACCACCATGGAAAGGAAAGCCCATCCTTGGAATGGGTCATGTGCTCTTCTTTCCTTTTGTTTCTTTCTCTCTCTCTCTCTCTTTTTTTTTTTAATGTCAGAAGCTGTGCTCCTGTCATCCATTTTGGTGGGGTATTTCACTCTCTCTGACAAATGCCCATTTGCCTTTGATTCTTCAAGGATACAATTTTCCAGCCAAATGGGACTTCTGTTTATGTTTAGGATTCCAGACTTCATGGACATTGCTTAATCCAACATCTCTGCCCCCAGGCAATGCTTTTTTCCAGAGAATCAGAGAAATTCTGTGCATTCTTAAAATAAAAAGTGAGATCTAATTATAGGTCCTGACATTTCCAGGGATCAGTCTGGAAATTACATAGAGTAGCTCTGAAATAACCTCACTTTATTTGCAATTACCCTTTGATAAAGTTAATTTAGGTGGCCTTGACCCTGGTCAGGGACCCCACTTGCCCTTTGCTCTTGAGTTTGGGGACTCTATTAGAGCTGTATCCAGAACCTTCTCCCAGCTTGCCTGAGAGAGACATAAGGCTCAGGGAATTTGGGGTTCTTACATGACTCTGCTCTGCATGACTCAAGGGCATAGGTCTCCTTCCTTTTTATCTTTCCTGCACAGAGGCCAAAAGTGAGATTAAGACAATACAAGTTTAGGATCCAGCCATAAAGTAGCAGTAGGATGTGAACAAGTCACAGCTGTCCTCTGGGCCCCTCAGTTTCTCACGTATAAAATGAAGGGGTTGGACAACAAGGTGCTCTTTGATCCCAGTTCAATTCAGAACTATAAAAGCACTGAGGGATTACTTAAATGAATAAGGCTGGATTCTTTTTTTTTTTTTTTTTTTTTGC